AGCAGCGGAATTAGTTATCTTTAACGTTATCACTTACTTGCCCAATATAGCAGCGGAATTAGTTATTGTAAGTGATAACGTTAAAGTTGGCCCAATATATAACTAATTCCGCTGCTATATTGGGCAAGTAAGTGATAACGTTAAAGATAACTAATTCCGCTGCTGACATTTTACAATATTGTAACAAAGAAAAATGAGCGAGATAAATGCATATCTGTAAGTACAAGTACAAATCAAGTCACTATATGGCTTGCAATCCTAAAGGTATTTAATGTACTGACACCGTTACTTTATATCATTGTATCTACATTACTTATGGCTGAAATAATTAAAAAGTTGTATATTTTTTAACCAGATTAAATGTTCATGTTTCTGTCAAGCAGAGAATGGAAGTGGAGTCATTCTATAGTGACTGTTCTTTGGAGCAGACCGAATGTACAATAAACAATAGAACAATGGCCACAAATAAGGAACCAAGAATTTTCAAGGTAAACAATTCCTTTTAAGTAAACGTGAACACATTTTTTATGAATTTATTTTCAAGAATTTCTGTGAAATCCACTTGTAAGTTGTAGGTTTAGCGCTTGTTTGAGTTATATCCATTATATTGTGTTATTTCTAATTAATATAGCATCAACAGATTTGACCCTTCAACATCTTAAAGTGTGGAAATTGTATTAGTTTTGCAACAGAGTAATTTATTTATAAACAACAAACTTGTCTTCTTTATGTTAAGATTGATACTTTCTATTACTCAAGTCGTTAGCAATGCATTTCAAATCTAACATCATATCGTACTTAAACCAATGTGTGTAATATTAGTTACAAAAATATAAATTTTACGCTTAACAAAAGAGATGTTTAATTATATTTTACTTAAAGCGCTATTGGTTACAAGTTATACATAATATCAATAGGGCGTACATAATTCTTAAAAATTCCCAATACATTTAAATATATATATATATTCCTATAAAAACACACTTCCTGCTTATACTCTAGTTTCCTGAATTATAATATTATGGTATCAGATGTTGTTGATAGTTTAATTCCTACTTTTATTGTATGCATGACTAAGTTTCAGGCATGGGAGGATTTCAAAAAATCGCAGTGTTAAAGGTAAGATAATTGGTTCTCTAAGGAACAATTTAATAGTTTAGATTTAAATCAACCGTCGTTTAGCATAAATACCACTACTTCGTGTTTTGCAAATACATCAATTGAGAATATCGAAGCCAGTGCAAAATCTTTTGTAACGTTTGGAATGATAATTGTCTATGTCCAATCAGTAATGTAGCTTGTAAAAATTGTAGTTATTGTTAAGACTATCAAACGCCAAACTTAAACCACGCTTTGTGGCTCGTAGACTATTTTTAAGAGAGTAATTTTTCTTTAGATAAAAGCGACCAGGGCCAATTCTGCTCACAGGAATTTCAAAAATACAATCAAATCAGGGATAATATATCAGATGGGAGGTTACAGTTTACTCTTTAAGAAACACACTATATTAAAGAGACTTCAGAAACTTACGTTGGTAATATCATACGACTTTGAAATTCACTTCAATGTAAAACTGATGTTTGGAGAAATAACAAAACAAAAATCATAAAATACACCAATAACAAACATGATAAAATTAGAAAAACAAAATTATTTAAGTTAAAATAGTTTAATGACATGTATTTAGCAAAACTTTGAGTCTTTTATACAAAAACGGCACTTGAATTTCGGGGATGCTTTATGGATCGGCTACCTTCCGAGGACACTAATCTAAAATCAGGTACTGTCACCGAAAATCCATGTCATCTTATATTAAGATACTCCTTAGATCATTCCCGAAAAATGTTATCGACGTTCACTGGATAGAATGGAACATACATTTAATAGGAAACGATTTCTATCTCTCGGCAACTTTGTGGGTTTGCACGCTCACTTAATGCATGCTTTCTTTACCTACAAATAAGTAAGCAACGTCCTTCATAAAACACAAGGCAATAAAGAAGGTGAAATATTTATATGCAAAACTATTTTTTTATTATTGTGGAAATAGATAACGGCAAGAAATGTACGAGATGATGAAAAATTTAGTGAATATTGCCAGAAATTTGTTGTCCTCATTTCGTGGTTTCGACACCAAAATCATTAATTTAAAAATCTCCTGCAAAGGTTAATACGTTCTTGCAATATTCTAATCCAAAATCTTCCCTTGGCAGAAGTGGGTCGTATTTTGCAGTCTCGAGTTTCCTTCCCTTCCAAAGCTGGTCTGGCTAATGTACCATAATGAAAATCTAGTTTATTTTATGCAAATTTGCAGTGAATTAGGTAATATTAAATCCTGCCTCCTGCACTGGCTCGTGTTTGAAGAAGGATGTCCAAGGCTATTACTTGTCTCACGTACAAAAAGCGTGCATTAAAAGGCTCGTGTGCAAACCTGTGAACGAGGATTCAGTAAAGAAGCTACTGAAAGATGATATATGTAACTGCTTCTTGCACATGTTGTTAATTTAGGTTATATCGTGTAAATCAGTTGTCATGTATACTTCATACTTGTACACCATAGCCGTTTCTTATTATCTTTCTTACATCTCATTCTCTTATTTATGCATGTGTGTACACGTAAAACTCCAAAAAACGGATATTTTACATTTCTCAAATAACGTGCTAAAGTACATGTTTACAAAGCTGTAACTAGTCTAAATTCAAACGAAGCAGAGGCTCTGGGGGCGTCCCAAGCGAGTTCGGGACAGAACCCTGGTGGGGTTCGAGGGAGGAAGAAATTGAGGTCCTTCCCGGAAAATGAACTTAATTAATTCTAAAATTAATTAGACATTTTTCAGTTATTAAAATCGAACGGGGTCGTTATGAAATATACTTGTGTTTTTGACGATAGAAACTATGAAATGAGGTACCATTTTATTTGCTATGAAAAATTACACAAGAAACATCACAAAACTAATTTATTTTTTGAATTTTTGAACGATTTTGATGAATTTTACAACATCATATAATAGGAAATCATAATCTTTTTGTAGACTTATATCCTAGGGCCCGGCATGGCCAGGTGGTTAGGACGGTCGACTCGCAATCTGCGGGTTCGCATCCCCATCCCACAAAACAGCCGTGGGGGCGTTATAATGTGACGGTCAATCCCACTATTCGTTGGGTGGTGATGACTAGCTGCCTTCCCTCTAGTCTTACACTGCTAAATTAGGGACGGCTAGCGCAGATAGCCCTCGTGTAGCTTTGCGCGAAATTCAAAACAAACAAACAATTATATCCTAGAAATCTAATAAACGTAGCTACATTCGGAATGTACATTGTTCATAGCATACATTTTACATGTAAAGGTTTTTGAAACATTTCGTAGGAAAATTCGTTGTTCTATTAGTGAAACAGAGACAATATAAAAGGCCTAAGGCTATGCTCTACAAACTTTCAGACGAAACACTAGCCGTAGTTACGGCCCTATTTGTCTGCCTCTATGATTGTAACGGCCTTCTTTTAGTTAATATTTCAGATTATATAGCACACGCTCTTAAGTCGTTATATTCTTCTTAGTACAACAGCAACAGTGGATAGACAAATAGTTGAGTGATATTGGAAAATACTTAAACTTATAATGTAATTCAAACAGAATTATTTTCTAATAGTTACATTTAGGCTCTACAATTATGTTACATTATCTGATTTTCGTTTGTGTTATCCTGTGTTTTTCAGGGTGTAATTAGAATAACTATAATAACTGAAATAGCAATATTATGATTCCTTTTTAGTCTATTTTACTCCTCTAAAATAGCCTTATACTTGTTATGTATCTCATCAGCTTCGTTATGAATGATCCGCGTTACTACAATGGAGGGGTGTTCTCGCTTCTTAAATCAAAGTGGCTTGCATAATGTACGTGGGTCAAGTTAAACATAAAACAAATATTACATTCTAGCTGTAGCTTAAGTCAGTAATCTCGGTCTGTTTGTAAGATCAAGCTCCGTTTCCTGATGATTGTGAACTTGTAATGAGGAAGAGGAAGATTAAAGAATTGTAACAATCAAGAGGCTGAAGTTTATCGGCACTGCCATTAGTTTCACACTTGCAATGATGATTCATTAGGCTACGGACTACGTCTACTTTATACAACAATTTAACCAACCCATGTTGTTAACGATGATAGCCATAGAAAGTTGATGGTTCGCTTAACGTCCCAATTGGTTGGTCAAACAAAACACACCAGCTTGTAACTAAAGAAATATAATGGTATTCTGTAAGCATCCTAGTCACACCACCTAGCGACAACAAGTGAGTCTTTTAATGTAAAAGTCTTAACTTTTAATGTTCCGAAAATAAATACCAACGTGAATAAATGTTCATAGATTATATTCGCGGAAACAAAGGTTCTATTCAAAGCTATAATTATATAAAAGTGAAGATGAAAAACCGTCTTTCGTGTTAGGTGAAGATTTTGAATAAAGGTGTTATTTTGTAGAAGTTCAGCATAGATTATTGATTTATTTATGTTTGTTTGTAGATTAAATGATAAGTTAAATATAATTGCGTTATGTCCAGTGTTTTTTTCCTAGGTATGTGAATTAAATGACATCAACTAAAAACAGGTTTAGATTATAAATAACTAACATCTTACGTTACGTTATTTGTTCATTTACTTCCCGATGTAACAAAAGATGTAAAGGCAGAAAATTATATACAAAATTCTTATACAAAAATCCAGATCGTAACGTTAACGAGCTTTTGGAAACTACAACTCATTACATCTGTACTACTATATATAATACAATATAATTTTCAAGGTCACATAACTATCTCCGCTACACTCGTCATATCAGAAACGTCCAATTTTTCCTGTATCAACTAAACAGTCAGTCACCTGTTGTTCGATCTCTGAAAATTTTGAAGCCCAATGGGTCTCACGTTTGGCTAGTACTGGTAACTCATGTAAATGTTCTCAGAGATTTATCTGAGTCTCACGTTTGGCTAGTACTGGTAACTCATATAAATGTTCTCAGAGATTTCTCCGAGTCTCACGCTTGGCTAGTACTGATAACTCATATAAATATTCTGAGATTTCTCTCTCTTCCTTTCTTTCAAACGGAATTGTTGGTTTTAAGATGATCGAGGTTTTAACCTACTTCTTACGTTAGCAGTGGACGATTCACGTCTGTAGACAAATAGAAAATATATCATATTTGCTGAGATGAATGTAACAACAAACGGTATTAGGATTTCCTAATGTTATAATTGTACACCCATGATAACCAGCTGGAATTATTATTTATGTACAGATTCTTCATGGTGCTGGCGAAGAATGATTATAGTAAATTATGTTTGTCATAAGTCAATAATACCAGGTTTATTTTATTTTTAAACACTATATTCTTTATTCGGTCCATTAAGGTTGTTCATAGAACAATAGTTCATAATTGTATTTCAAACATATTTATGTGCTCCATATCCATCGCAGCTGACGCAATTTCACTCAATACAGGATTCCAGCCTGCTTGATTAGCTCTGGTATTCAACGGAACACGTCGTTGGCAATAAACATGGCGGACATAGTGTAGTTCAGTCTTTTTCTTCTCAAAAAATCCTAAGGGGCCGAATAAGAATATAATGTTTAAAAATGCAGTAAACTTCATATTATTGTCTTATGACAAATAATTAATTTTTTCTTTTTAATCTGTATTTGTTTACCACGTATCATATCACTTTTTGTATTTGTTTACCACGTATCATATCACTTTTTGTATTTGTTTACCACGTATCATGTCACTTTTTGTATTTGTTTACCACGTATCATATCACTTTTTGTATTTGTTTACCACGTATCATGTCACTTTTTTGTATTTGTTTACCACGTATCATTCACTTTTTGTATTTGTTTACCACGTATCATATTCTACTTTTTTGTATTTGTTTACCACGTATTCATATTCTAACTTTTTTTTAGTCATAGTCTT